TGACCAGAAATGCCGAGATCTGCACACGAGGTGCAGGGAGTAACGTAAGTACATCCAACTCAGTATGTAACAAGTCCAAACTTTGTACTGAAAGGTAGTGACGAACTCAACCGGTGCAGATAAAATAGATAACTGTGCAGAACATAGGCATGCTTTCAAATTAAGCAGGCAACTCAAAATAGTAAAGTAAAGCAGATCCGAACAATATAAGGAATATAACTCTACTATCTCTGCATGCCAATGCACATGTTGTATGTGATGCACCATGCTGTCAGCCTCATATGTTCACACTCTCAAATGCTCAACCACACAGTACTATATATCGCCCATACGGCGTAGGGAAGATCCATCCCGGAATATATACATCATTAACCATCAGTCACCCAGTAACGAGCAAGGCCAATCCAGCCCTATGGAGAAGATCCATATCCAGGTATTAAGTACTTCGGACAAGATCCATGTCCAGGGAAGATTCATCCCTCAATAATATCAATCGCGCTCATTGGGGGTGTGTACAAACTCCGGAGGGGCTCCTACAGCCCAAGTGTTATCACAAATCAATATAACCGTTGCGGCGTGCAGCCCGGTCCCATAACTGTCACTCATAATCAGGCTCTCGACCTCAGTCAGTCATCAATCTCTCTAGTCTCACTCACGGGCTCACAATGTCATGAAAACTAACCCGAAACAATGATATGACGTATCAATAAATAACAACTGAGACTGAGATATGATATGAAATGCATGTACATGACTGAGCACGAAATATCAATGAAATCAATTAGATGAAAGCAAGAAACGATCACTATGGGTCCCAACAGTACCGGCATAAAGCCTAAACATGATATCTAGCATGATTGACAGCTCAATTACTTTATCATATAGTGAAAACACGGATATCAACAAGATAGAGTCACTATACAGTGCCATGGAATCAATCAGGTCACAATTCTCCGCACACCTGTCACTTGGCATGTGCATCACCTCAGTACCAATCACATAACACATAATTCAGGGTTTCAAACCCTCAAAACCAAGTTTGAAAGTGTTACTTACCTCAAACCGAGCAAATCTCTACTCTGAAATATCTTTGTCTCTCAAATCGGTCTCCAAACGTCCCGAATCTAGCCACAAGTATTACAATACAATCAATATAGGCTAAAGGAATCACTTCCACAAGAAAAGTACTAAATCATAGCCAAAAATCTGAAATCGACTCAAACTCGGCCCCTGGGCCCACGTCTCGGAATCCGACAAAAGTCACAAAATTCGAAAGCCCATTCACTCACAAGTCTAACCATATCAAATTTACTCCGATCCAATAACAAAATCCTATTCAAAACCTCATAAATCTAACTCAAGAATACTTCCTCTTCTTCCCCATTTTTTTTTACCCCAAATCACAAATTAGATGATAAAATTAAAGACATAAATATGGGATTTAACCAAAACCAAGCAAGAATCACTTACCCCAATCAACTCCACGAAAATTCCTTCAAGAATCGCCCAAATCCGTGGTCTCTAGCTTAAAATATGAAAAATTGGTTCAACCCTCGTTTTTGAAATTAATACTATTTGCCAAGACTTCCTTCTTCGCGAACGCGACCGACCTCTCGCGTTCGCGTAGACCAACATGACTTCCTCCCGGACTAAATCTTCATGAACGCGAAGCTTTACCATCTCAACTCATCGTGAATGTGGCCCATACCTCGCGAACGCGTAGACCAAAGACCTGGGGGTCCCCATCTGCCTCACTTCTCTTCGCGAACGCGACACTACTCCCGCGTTCTCGATACATATGTAGACCACACTTTCGCGTTCACGCCCTCTTCTTTGCGAATGCGAAGAACAAAATATTCCCATCTCATATTAACCCTTCGCAAATGCGAGGCTCCTCTCGCGAACGCGTAAGAGGAAACCAGAAAGAACACAGCAGCAGACATCATCTATCACTCAAAGGCCAAAAATGATTTGTTAACCACCAGAAACTCACCCGAGGCCTCCGAGACCTCAACCAACATAGCGTCAAGTCCCAAATCATCATACAAACTTAGTAGAACCCTCAAACCACCTCAAACAACATCAAAAATGTGAATTACACACTGATTCAAGCCTAATGAACTTCGAAATGTTCAAATTCTACAAACGACGATAAAACATATCAAATCATGTCCGATTGACCTCAAATTTTGCACACAAATCATAAATGACACTACTAACCTGCTCCATCTTCCGGAAATCCAATCCAACCCTGATATAAACAAGTCCACTCCCGGTCAAACTTTTCAAAATTCCAACTTTCGACATTTCAGGCCTAATTCTACTACGGACCTCCAAAACACAATCCGGTCATGCTCCAAAGTCCAAAATCACCTAACGGAGATAATGGAATTATGAAAATTAAAATTCGAGGTCGTTTACACTTAAGTCAATATCCGGTCAACTTTTTCAACTTAAGCTTTCAACTAAGAGACTAAGTGTCTCAATTCATTCTGAAATCACTCAAGACCCTAACCAACTAACCTGATAAGTCATAATACAGCTGTAGTACACAAAAGAAGCAGAAAAATGAAAGAACGGGGCTACAACTCTCGAAACGATCGTCCAGGTCATTACAGATTAATTAAGTTCTCTAAAGGTGGTCATTTTTTTGTCTAATTAATAAAGCACATTGAATCTAAGCACATTGTATTGTCAAGAAATATCTAAAAAAAACTTGAAGATAGTTGAGAAGAGAACTTATGAAGCAAACTTCCTAAGTTCTTGTCAAAAGAAGAATTTTTTAGAGATAATCAAATAGTGTCCAAAAACTGATATCACTATATTTTTTCAGAATCAATCAAATGTGGAAAATTCATCTAACATTCAAAATAATGTCCAAAATCTGATGAATATCAGGGATCAATGTAGTAAGGTTTAAAACAGGTGCAAAATGAATCTAACACTTATAACTACTTAATATCTAGTCAGTAGATGATAACACTTAGAACTAAACTCAATTAAGATCCAACAATATAGACAAAATATTCAATTTATAAGGAAAAAATAGTTTTATTAATAATCAAACTGAACAATTTTCTGATATCTTCATCCCTACAAACATTCCAGCTAACAACACTTATGAAATAATACTTGCTCCATTGTCACCTTCAATCCTTACATCACTTTCATCTACAAACGAACTTGAAGGTGGTTCTTTACTGTCAACATTTTTTTTGGAATTCATTGAATGCTACTATGGCTTCATCATAAGATTTAAAAGACTAGAAGATACTTCCTTTGAAACCTATAACCATAGAAGCACACTCATACCAAGAGTTATATAATCCGGGCCTTTTACTACGAAATACCACATACACCTTCAATGCCGATATATTCTCAGTTTGACAACTTTTTTTGAACTCATTGAACGCTGATATGGCTTCATGATATGATTTGAAAGCCTGGAATATGCTACCCTTGGCACCAATAACCATAGAAATACGCTAGCGCTTAGAATTGTATAATCCAGGTCTCTTACTACGAAATACAATATAGACTTTCGAAGCATTATTCCTCTTCCCGTCCCCATTCTTTAATCTAACCCTTAACACTAAAAAAAAAGATAAGAGATGAAGAAGGAGGAAAAAAAAGATAGAAAAATGGGGGCAGGAAAAGCTTCTTAGGTGAAGCACTATATATTTAAGAGTTTAGGGTTAGAAAATGACCAATGCAAAATGAGTATAATAGTTTAAATGTATACATATTTCCTCTAGCATACTATGTGTATATTTTAATGTATTTTGTTTGGTATAGTATGTGTATACGTGCATTGAGTGCTTTATGAAAAAGGATGTAGTCATGTATGTGTATATATGAAAGAAGCCTTGGGAAGGTAATACAATTAAAATAATGAGAGAGGGTTGTTTGAAAAAAATTGAATAGAAATAAAAATCTACTAAAGGGTAGAGATAGAAAACGAAAATGCACAATTATCAATTATATCCTCAAAAGTCGTGTAAAGTTACCATAATATGCCCATTATGGACATTTGGGCCAATATTAGTGTGGCCAAATATATTTTTCGAATTTTAATAGCTTAATGAGTTTAGTGCAAAGTTAAACTTATTATTCCTATTACATTTAAATCTTGAACCTGCATTAAAATATTATTCATGTTTTATTATACTTAATGAAGGTATTAATAAAAATAGTTGGGCAGGTGTTCTTTCCATGTTTTCCTAATTCCTGTAATGTTATGTCCTCATATCTCGTTGTCTCCATTTTTTATAATCCGAGCTTGCACTTATCAATTTGAAATTTATTTCGGCTCTAAATTTGTTCTTTTTAACTGTTTAATGATAATAAAGAAGCAGTAAGATATAAATAAAATTTGAAAACTCACTGTACTTGGGATCAGTCAGAAAAAAGCACTTGAACTGAAGTATAGAATTCTCATGGTTCACTGTTAAAAAAAAAAAGAATGCATGTACAATTTAGTCTAATTAATAGAAACTAGAGAAAATCACCATTTATTTTTTAAAACTTAAACTAATTGATAAAAAATGTTGCATGTTGTGACCATTTGCATGCACATTTTATTTTTTGCTAGTTCTAAAGCCCGCTCAGATACCCCCAGGCCCTAACCCTCACAAATCCTGTTCTATCTCACCTTTCAATTTGATTCATTATCATCTAAACTATTTTGGTTTATATCATGAATCGCGATGAAAAATATTTGAAAAAATTAAAACACTATTCAAAGGTACGGCGAGATCATTGGAATCCCTTCATCTTCATTAAATTTCTTGCGTTCCTAATATCCTTGTTATTCATATTTACTAAATTGGTATACATAAATTATTTTCTCTTAATATTCTAATTAATATTTGTAAGTTTTTAAAGATCTTTTAAAAAAAAAAATCTTGTTCCTAATTTACATTTTGGGGAAAAAAGAAACAGTAAAGACATAAAGGAGAAAAAGTTTACTGACAACAAAAGAAAATCATACGTACCTGCATTTCCTCATTTTTGTTGTCCTTGTCCTTTGTTTTTTTCCGATCCCCACCCACACGTAGACCGCAGTATATTCATTCAATCAATCCTCTCTCTCTCTCTCTCTCCTCATAGCGCTCCTTGCTTTTCCACAGCACACAGCAAAAATCAAAATCAATTTGCTTTCTTTTCAAAGAGTCCCTCTTTTCTCTATTCCTCTGTCAAACAAACCAAACAGATTATATACAGATAATATATAGAGATACACCAGTTTCTCGTTTGTACTTATCGGTTCGTACATTGATTGTTTTTATTGATCAATGGGGATCGGTGACTTTACTTGTAAATTAGGGTTTCCATTTGTTATGGTTATTTGAAGATTATTAGCTGGCGTTTGTATTTGATCGAAGGATGTAGCTGAATTAGTGTGTTACTTGGTCCGTAATTTCTAGGAATTGGGTTTCTGATTGAAATTGGATTGGTTTAACCATAGGTTTTGATCTTTAAAGGTGGTCACTTTTTTCTGGAGATTAATTATCTGTTTGGAATCATGGGAAATTTCTTTGTTTTCTAAATTTACTGAGGTAAAAAAAAGTTGATTACCGCTGTAAAAGTCTTGTTCTTGGTAATTTCAGATTGAAATTTGTATTTTTAACTATAGATTCTGATCCTTAAAGGTGCTTACTTTTCTGGGGATTAATTACCTTTTTGGATTTTGGGTTTTTTTGGGACTTTTTAAATCTATTGAGGTTCAATCTGAGTAAAACAGCGGGTAATCTCTGTAAAAGTTTTGTTCTTGGTAATTGGGAAAGAGGTTGATTGGATCACCATGGATCATGTTGTGGGTGGGAAGTTTAAGCTGGGAAGGAAGATTGGAAGTGGGTCTTTTGGTGAACTTTATTTAGGTATGTTCCATTGATTTTGCTTGTTGATTAGGTTTGATTATATATGATTTATGATTAGCCTCATTTTCTTCGTTTTGACCTTTTGTGTTATAAGTAGTTTTGACCTGCTCTTATATCTTTATCTTATTGTTTCTGCTCCTTGCTGCTTTGTTGATTCAGGTGTGAATATACAGAATGGAGAGGAAGTTGCTATTAAGCTGGTATGTGCCCGTCCCCAACCAACAATCGTCTATCTTTTGTGTTATTTTCTTTTGTTTTCTGTATACAGTGAGTTCACGTGGTTGCATTTAATGTTCTTGTGTAATGTTTAATACGTTTAGTTGTTGTTGTTACATCAATACATTTAGTATGCGTTAATCCAGAATCAGTTACGTAATTCTGTATCTAGATAGGCTGCTAGACAGGCAGCTGATAATACCATTTGGACGAGGCTCCAAATCTTTCAGCTGATAATACCATTTGATAAATTCTGAAACTGTTATATCCAATAGAAGCATTTGTAAGTTGTGGAAACTCAGCAAGTCCACCAATCCAAATATTATAAGTAGCATCTGATCTAGTTTGTTGTATAACTATGTTTTCTGGAAGAGGTTGTTGTAGTCTAAGTAGAAATGTACTATCTAGTTCAGGGAAAGCTTTTTTATGTGTTAAAAGCTTCTTAACCAAAAAAGATAACTTTGTTAAGTTGAATTACAAAAGGAGACATGTTTATCTCATTCGGCGAGCTTCTACATTCTTTTGTGTCATGCTGCTTTTGGAATGCAAGACTGATTTTTTTCTGGATTTATTTTGCTAGGTTATATCACAAGAATTTGTTTTAGTGACCTGTACGTTTTGACTCAAACTTTTCACATATTGGTCTGTTCTAAGTTTTTTTTCTTTTTGTTACTTCAACTTTCAGGAATCAGTCAAGACAAGGCACCCTCAACTACACTATGAGTCAAAAATTTATATGCTTCTCCAAGGAGGAAGTAAGTCTCACTTCATCAATCTAATCTTGCATATTATCTCTTTAAAACATATGCTGCAAATGTGATTTTTATTCCTGGATGTCTTNAGTGCTACGAAAGTACTATTTAAGTATTATCCTCTGCTTTTCCTTGCTTCTTTGGTTTTCAAATTAATGGACTTGGAGATTTTCTATTCCTTTATATGTCTTCTATCTTATAAGCAAGTTATTAGTTGAACAAATAAAAAAGACCTATTAGTTCAATGGCTTGTCTGAATTTTTGGTCATTCACATTAAATAGCAAATAACTTTGTCAATGGGACTTTTATGAATAGTGAATTAATTTCCTTATCTTTGCCATTCTGCTGAAGCCGGGATTCCTAATCTCAAATGGTTTGGAGTTGAGGGAGAGTACAATATAATGGTCATTGACCTTCTTGGACCAAGTTTGGAAGACCTCTTCAACTATTGCAACAGGAAGTTTACTCTGAAAACAGTGCTTATGCTAGCAGATCAACTCGTAAGTATCAGCATCTCATTCTTTTAGAGAATAATTTTCTGCATGTTTCCCTGTGCATTTGAGTTAATAAAATCTTTTCCTGTGTCATTCTTAGATTAATAGAGTTGAATACATGCACTCTAGAGGATTTCTTCACCGTGACATAAAGCCAGACAACTTTTTAATGGGCTTAGGTCGCAAGGCAAACCAGGTACTTGTTCATGTTCTGTCAGACTGACAGAATACTTGGATTACATGTCATATCTCTGCTCCTTTTACTTATGCAAAGAAAATTAAGTATAGGTTCATGTCAGTCCTTACTCTTTACACGTTTACCTTTTGGCTTCAACAGATTTAGCTTGTAAGTATTTTGTGCTGGTGCTGGCTGATATATTCTCGGTGTTAAAAGCTTATTGTTTCTCTTGATGATTTGACGGTTTTTACTCCAGACAAAATATATATATATTTAGATCTGTATACTGATGGCAGGTTTACGCCATTGACTTTGGGCTTGCCAAAAAGTATAGGGATCTCCAGACTCACAAGCATATACCATACAGGTAGCAACAATGTTACTTTTTTCGGTCCTTGCAGTTGTTACATGCATCTTTCTGTATGCTTGTAAATAAGCATTATTAAGACCGGGGGGGAGGGG